CATGGGATCGGTTTCCCGTATAGAGTCTATGGTCGCCCCCCCCCCCCCGCGACCGCCGCAATGCAGCCGCGCCGTCAGCGCCGCGGAGGCGCGCCAGCGAGCCGCCCTTCGTGTCTCGCTCGCGCGTCCCCGTCGCCCGCGCCGCGCCGCACCCACACGCACCCACACCCGCACCCTACGTGGCCGTTCGGCGGCGCTCATCAACTCCAGCGCGGCATGTAGGTGTCATTTGCTTAAGCCGCTCTCGCGTATCATTATGCTGCAGAGCAGCAGCCGCCAGCCAAGGAGTGCCCCTTCGGCAGCATTTGCTTGTTTGCAGCGCAGACACCTGGCGTCCGGCTGGGGTGCGTCTCGCCCCGTCCCGCGACGTGTCATGTGCGGTACATGGGTACCGGTCATACACCTCATACATGTTGCCAACCTACCCAACCTACCCAACATGTATGCCGTCTATGTCCGTCATACGTGTTGGTAGGTATTGATATGAGAGAGGGGGGACAGGACACACAAAAGTGCTTTCATACCCTAGTATCGCGGAGCTGATCCAATCCGAGCTTTGCATCACCTTGATCCCTGCCATCGAGAAAAACTAGATTACTACACGCTGCCCGCCCCCACAGGACCTGCTGCTTCCCTCCAGACCGCACGCAGTAGATGGAGGGAGCGGTGTGATGCAACACGATCCCTCTGCTTACTGATGCCTAATAATACCTGTTTACCTTATAAAGGGAGGCTGGCTAGAGTAGATCTACTCTACTGTACGTGTACGGTACAAAAATTTGTCCTCACATGAGGCCCAAAAGTTACAAACTTAAAGAATGATAGTTTACGCGATAGGACGTCCCATAAGTACAGTGGTACCTTCTATATATCGCACCCCAGTGTCACAACGCTTCAAAGTGCGATATATCCGATAGTGCGATGTAGCAAATACTCTCGAAAAAGATTTTTTTTGTTATGTTGAGGCAATGACGTGGAACCGGGCAGAACTACTCAGGGCCGTTCCTAACGACGAGCACGGTGGGCCGTTCCTAACGACGAGCACCACTCAAAGGATCCGTAGGCCGGCGGCGAGTGAGGTATGCTGATCGTGATGTCATGCGTGTGCTACGTGTGCACGTATGGCTCTTATGACAAGCCCCGATAAAAGCTATGTCAAAAGCCGCGATTTCGGGTTGTTTTTTCATTTTTGCTTTTTGCTTGTTTATTCATGCAGAAACTGAGAAACTTCATGATTCTTCATGAAGAAACGACTTTGGACAATGGTAGCCACGACTTACACGTTACATCTCCATGATGGAGATGGGCTACAGGGACCCTAGGAAGGCATGGGGGATCTCGATTTGGATGGTTGATCGCGATTATCGGTGGGTCGCCTGAAGAAGGCCGAAGTGGTGATTTTTTCATTTTGCAGCATTATCTGGCAGTTTTTGCGCGCAATTGCGCGCAAAAACATGATTTAATGAAATCGCGGGTCAAAAGCATTTTACCAGAGGGCATGACGAGGATCATGATTTTCCAGCTGATTGGGACAGGCTGTCTCCAGCCGGTAGAGCATAAACCGGTAGACGACAAAAGTCCTAAAAGTAAAAGCGAGGGGATACAAACTTCCCTGATTCCCGCCTACACACTGTAGCACATGAGGCTTGAAGCTATCCGTCCGAAGCTCCACCCGTGTACAGTTTGTACACGGGTGGCGCTGTACAACGGGCGACGTGTAGGATTGCCGCCCGCCTGGGATACTTGAGGGCGCAGCGGCGAAGCCTGGAGACATACGCGTTCATAGCAGCAGGTGCGCATGAGCGTGCGTTTCGCCTCGAGAGAGTGGACAAGAGCGTGCGCCCACCGGCAATCAGTGAAGGAAAGCAAAACGCCTGGGCAAGTAACACGAGGTCAGAAGGCGCCGTCGCAAAGGTTCGCGATGGCGTCTGGGGGCAGAGTGGAGCAGGGTCCCAGTCTCGCGGTTTGTAGAAAAAAAAAAAAAAAAAACTTGCCTTCGGCAACGGCGTGCAGATTAAAGCCGTCGCCGCCTTTGGCTGCTCGACAAACTACAATGTACCGAAGGTACCACTGCAGCACTATTATACAGAAACTAACGAATTTAGTAATTTAGAAGAGTAAGGCAATTGTAATAATGTGATAAAGGGCTAAATTCAGTCTACTTATTCATATTAAAGCACAATTATGGCCAAAATTTGGCTGTCCTAATTATAGCAATTTTACGAAAATGTAATGCAACAAGCTCCATGATACGCCACTTGTTGTCGCTGACATTCTTGGGTCAACCATGCCGACTCTGCCAAGATAGGCATATCATAGGCCTTCGGCCATGAGGTGGCGAAAGCCATTTCGTCCAATAAGAACGCTCCGGACCGCCGCCGTCCATACTTGGACGGCTGGCATTGGGCGACGAATGTAGTCGGACCAAAAGGGAGAATTTTGTATGCGCACCATCGTAGATTTAACTATTAATTAGTAATCTACACTCGACGGCGGCGCGGTATCGCGCCCACCAGTCTCGGACTGGATGACATAAAGTTGTGTGACCGGGGGCAGCTCGCCCCCTCACACAGGAGAGGAACCAACTCTCGATCACGTTTATTGCTCACCTCGTTCAGACTCCAAACGCATAGAGCAGAAAGTGTGGACCATGAAACATTGTATAGGGTACTACTGTCCTGCACAGTGTACAATACTGTATTATTCACATCGTTGGTGCAGCAGATACAGAAATGTGCTGTCCGAGGTCTAGCCCACCACCAATTGGATTCCACTATGCACATATTATGGTGATGCAACACAAGTGATGCAAAATTAAAGAGAGCCCATTAATTCCAGGCTCCGGTCTCGCAGTGCAATGCTCAATAGTTCATATGAAATTTGAGCTTGAATAACGCCCTTTTCATGCACCAATGAGCGATAGGAAAGATTGAATACATCAATGAAAACTTCTCTTCACGCTACGATTCCGAAAGCGCCTCAAGAGTCTATATCAGAAGGAAACAAGAATACGCATTCAACGGAACGACGTTCCATTTACACCGCCAGGGTTCATGGAAACCAAAGGGCACTGTGTTCCATGGCTTGTTGCCACTAGACCTAAGGCAGTCAAAAATTCACAATTTTGTGGACGAGTGTCTTGGAAGGCTTTTTCTTTGGCCATCATTAGAGCACTTCAAGCCGAGTCTTGTGTCACTCCACTTGCATGCTTGTCGTCGAAGTGCTCTATGGTAAAGGGGGAGGAGCAATACGTGTCTGCGCTGATCACTCTAGAAAAGTTCTTTTAGAGCACTGCTTCCCATGAAAGATCATTTGAACGTGTTATGTACTTTCTGGTGGACACTTGATGAGCGTCAGGGCGAGGTTTTAACGAGGGCCATGCGTATCGTAGGAGCACCGTGCGAATCAACCAACAGTAACAAGGGTGGCAAGCATTCAATCTTCAGACTGCATCGTCCCATGTCCAATACTAGATATCTGTTGTGTTTAATAACGCTCCAGTGTACATCGTTTTTTTCCGGCTTGTGCTGGGCTGAGTTGATAAGGTCGTGTGTTTTCCTCTGTTGCGCAGATACAGTACTACTGTACAATGAGCAACACTTTCAAAACAATCTCACTACTTGCGTCCTGTGATTTCGCCCAATCGCTTCAGGTTGCACAGTCTGCGTCGTTCTCTTTGATGAAACTTGCTGACGGAGGCATTAGAGGAATGAAAGCACGCAGCGAGAGAAATTGCTGCAAGGTTTCGAAGAGATAAACTACATGCTAGTGCGAAGTTGTGGATGCAAAGATTTGCCAAGATTCTCTTATTGAATGAAAAGGGATAGCTCACGGCCGTTAACTATCATGTAGAGGGGAGGAATGGGTAGATTACTGTTTCCATACATCTAAACTTTCCTCACCTTCCAGGCACCACGGCCGTACCTAGGGTCCTTTCACTTAAAAGATAGGAGGCCTGGCGCAAATGTCACGGATGAGCTCCCTGAGGAGGTTGAGAACGCGGGGCCAATCGGTGACCTCCAGAACAAGGCTCGGGTCGTCGGCGATTTGCTCGAAGAGGGAGGGATCGGAGAAGCCGACGGCAACGGTGCAAACCCTGTTAGCCGGGGACCTTGCGCGCCAGCGGTCAGCAATAGCCGTCGGGCTCAGGGGACCAGTGAGAGCGCCATAGCTACTGCGACCGTCGCCAAGAACAACAATCTTACTAGGCTCACCACGACGACGACCCAACTGACTGACACAATAAGCGAGTCCAGCGCCAATGAAGGTGCGACGGGCCCTGGCAAACTCAGCTGCTTCAAGAAGGAGGAGGAAGTTTTCGGGGTTGAATCTCAAGTTCCTGATAGGCTTGTTAACCAAACCATATTGAACAGCGGCGAACTGAGCCTCAGGCTCAGCACCGACGATGGCGGCAATGATGGCAACAAAATCCTTCTGCAAGTTGAAGTCCTCCTCTCCAAGGGATGCACTCCCATCAATAGCGAAGCAAACGTTAGGGTCGCAGCTGGTCACTCCTCGGATCTCGCGAATAGCGGCCGCGATCGCCCTCGCTCCTCCGGGCAGCGTAGCCAACCTAGTGTTGTTTATGATCCGTCGAAGCTTCCTAAGCCTCCTTGGCGATATGCGGATTCCATCGGACGGGGCTGCGAGCAGGCAGAGGGCCAGGAACAAAAGAACGTGCACGAATTTCATGGTGAGGTAGTGTGAGTGTTGAACTTACTGTACTCTTCGTTAAGTGGTGTGTGTGTGGGGGAAAGTTCGATTTGTACCAAGAAGCTTGCTGCCTTTTTATACCTAATGTGATACCGCATACATGGACAGTACTATACTGCAGTTACCAGAGTTCACAAGAGCTCACTCACATGGTAATCTGTTTGAAACTATTCCGCAAATGCTATGATCATAGATAGATTATTGACCCAGAAACTTACAAAATCTCCACCGTGACTAGGCATGCATGCTTGTGTTCTCTACAAACGGTTGTAAGTGCTTAGTGAGCAATTTTTTCTGTGTGTGTATGTCAGGGTATGACAAAGCTATAGTTGATGAACACAAAAATATGTTGACTGAGTTATTTTTGACTAGAATGTGCCAGCGGGCTCTTTACCTCCTTTGATAGGCAATTTTTGCTTGATTTAAGCAATGAAGACGTGGGTACGAGTGCTATGTTGTAACATGGATTTCACGGTACGGTATATGGCTTCGTCTTGGATGTTTTATTAATGGTAAGAACAGTCTACCAGGCTGCTAACAAAATCTACTATCACATAGAATCAGCTGCATGTCATTATTAAAGAAATGTTGACGCAAAATACGGACTGCTTCCAGTTCTCGCAGAAAGCACTTCGGTGGCAACCGTTGATCTTCATGATCTACTCTAAGGATCAGAAATGGGGCTATTTGGTTCGCACATATGTGTTGTCCAGAACATTTCTGTTTTGTCGATGAAGCATGGCTTTGATTAGCTGTCCCTATCCGGACACAAATAAGCAGAAGCTTAACTCTTGAAGGCGTTACGTTGGAAATTTCTTCAGAAGCGAAGCTCTCCACCACCCATCCAACATTATATGCTGTACTGTTGTGCTTGATGATGACTTTGAGTGTAGAAACCTGCCTAATGTTCATATCAAGCCTAACATGGTCTACTACTACACTTAAGAATGGAGGGAGGTATTCTGATATGCAAGTGCGTTTGAAGATTTCACCACTTTGAAAGCATGCGTTGGCAGTTCGCGTGACGGCGCAGCTTTGATATTGCATCCCGTCGGACGAGATGTTGTTGAACAAAGAACGTGCCTAACGAAAACATGGACAAAAAGAGCACTACCCAAGAATTTCTCCTTACGCCAATACACACCTGGCATCTGCAAGACAACTCTAATTCACTTAAATGCACTGAACAAGTCGAATCCCTCTAGTATGGACACGGAAAGCATACCGCCTTTTGAGTAGGCGGTTTATGACGATCTACTTATCACATCACACGGCTCACACACGAGGCATTTCCGTGAATGCCCTTCAACCCGGAGTGGGTGTCATCGAGAGTACCGTAGGTCGTATGCGCGCTCATCGCAAACCTAACCGAGGCAAGTACCTGGGTACAATTCCATTTCCCAACTCATTACAAAATCGGATCTGGCGATGCTACAGATTGTATGTACAGTATATGTTTTTGCTTGAGTCATACCTAAGGGTTCTGTATAGATATCCTAGGCGAATCTATCTACATTTGCAAAATTTGACACGTGCACTTTGGCCGGATATGACATATTGCATGTATGCAGATTGTACCTGCTACAGTAATGGGCGACTCCTGAAATTCTAAAATCGCAAATTGTGTTGACCAAATCGGGATTTTGTGACACACAAACGGCGCGTTGTGCACACACAACGCGCCGTTTTCTCGGACGGGCGACCCCATGCTAGGTTAAATGTGTATCGCATAAATGTCAAAATGTGCGCGCGTACAATCCAAATTTACTGTACACAGAGAAAGCGTCGGCCGCCGCCCGACCGACGAGACTCGACATCTACATCCTACCGAGCATGGCTCTGAATGAGAAGTAGCAATAGAATAGCCATTTGGTCATTCATGGTTCTGACGGTGGCTGCTCGGTGAAAACACCATCATGATTGAGCTTAGCTCACAGCACACACTGTAGATAGAGCTCCGACGGCGTCATCGCCGGCGTCCGGTGCCGTGCTCGTCGTTAGGAACGACCCTGACACACCGTGCTCGTCGTTAGGAACGAGTTCAAAGCATGCGTACAGTAGGGGGACGCACATTATGTGCGCAAGCATTTCCGTGGTAAAACTCATTTTTTGTTCACAAAAAAGAAAAATATGACTCTGACACAAAAAATAATTTCCGGAGGCGCCCAATAAAGCATCTTGTTCTCCTTTCAAACATAAAACTTCTCATAACCCTTGTGCCCTTACAAACATAAATCTTCTCATAACTCTCGTGCCCTTACTGCGAAAGTGAGACTGTATACCCCTGGACTGTACTGCTGTAGAGGAGGCTATTGGTCGGTCATACCTCGTATCAAACATAAGGTATGACTACTCGCTTGTAAAATCAATGAAATTCCCGGAATACCCTACTTGCCGCTATGCATCAACAAATCTCGTCTCGAATTTGGCGAAGGTTGAGAACGTACTTTTATGACCAAAATGCTATACAACGCAATGATCGCGACTTTTCCGACGTGTATCTGTGTAGTGCCCGAGGGATCCTCTGTTCGTATTTTTTTACCATGCATCGTGGGATGTCTCAAGCTAACCTACACGCTTCTATACTGTATGTTGCCGTCTGTGAAACTCAACATATGCTGCTCCTCAGCATACGGCCTTACTGAATGTATTCTCAGCTCGAGATTTGCCCGACCGTTGCTACAGTGAATTCTTTCGTGTGTTTCCTATCAGAACATCTCCCGTTGTTGAGTGCCATGCTGTACTTCGGCTTGCAAGCACACCCTTCTAGGATCTCAAAGTTCTCTCACGAGGGAGAATAATTATACATGTGCGGCTAGCTCCACTCAGCTAACAGCTACCGTACAGTATGCTTTTCAGAACAAGAATCAGGAGACTGCTACTTGTCTCAGCGACTTGTCATCAAGCATGCTTGTCAGATGAAGCCCATGAAAGTTCCACCAGTGCGATGGAGCGAGGATGGAAGCACCTAGAGCAACACGGTTCTGAGCGAAAGAGGTGCAAGCGATATTAAAAATCTTCTTCCTTGATCTATTGTTCAAACCACCTGCGTAGAAACGCTACGTATTTCGCACGGTAGCAGACGGAAATCACGTTGTGTTTTCCTTAAGCAGCACCAATGTGGAATCAGCATGAGCATACTCCACAACTGTACCATGCCGTAGATCTACTTTCGTTCTCTTGTTGCAAAGTGGTTGAAGTCCGAGGTTGTCATGAAAAGCTAGGCGCTATACTCCTTTACACAACGCGTGTCGGGGCACTTCTTTTCGCGTGATTTTCGCCACCATGGCAGTCTCAAATGAACTTATGTCACAAATTGGGGTTTGTCCCTCATGCAAATCTTCAACAGTGGCGATTCGCAGGTTTTAAATATCTCAAGATTTCTCGCCGATGCAAGAACCCATGGGCAACCCGAATTCTACACTTTGGTTGTTCACAAACAAAAATGAGCTTGGGAGTCTGCAAGGACTGTCTTATTTCGCTGCGGCTCGAGGTTAATTGGTTGCCTTTATGTCAAGGGGTATGTTCAGGGATGTCTCGCTGCCACCACACAGAGCATGTTCTACTGTATTTCAGCGCTTTGCTGACTAGTCGGACGCTACTCCTATTTAAGCATCCAATTTTTACCCCATAGGTCGTTTTATAGTACGTATTACGGAATGAACTTAGCGGCTTCATTGTAGCTATCTTATTAGCGCTGCTAACATCGAAATGTACGCAGTCTTGCAATATTTCGGTTTCTGGCAGTAGTAAAATAGTCTGCGATCTGTTTGGACTGGTGTTATCAGCAGATATTCTCGTCAAATAAAACGACGGTACAACACACTGCAGACCTCCAGAGAACTGGATATTTGATTATGCGGTGCGTTAAAAGATTCATGTACAGCAAGCCCCATGCTGGCTTTGTCCTTTGTCTCAATAATTCAAGTGGTTGAGGAGGTCAACCTCTATCTAAACGAATGGGTTTCTTGAACAGCGTCTCCAGCGAGTCGGCCTTGCGGTGCACTCCATTTCATGAATATTCCATGTCCTGTTGCACATAAACAGAGATCTACTGCACCATTCAGATATTACCAAGAGTACCCACTGATAAAAGGGCATGAGCTTGAAGTTAGGGAAAGTTCTCCGCCTTGCCCTAGTCACTTTGCGAACCTCTTCATGCATGGAGTAAAGCTGGCTCCGATTTATTGAAGTCCAATTTCCTCGGTGTACTTGCTTGCTGGAATCGCCACGATGAACAGCACTATCCTTTCAGAACTACACACGCAAGGAAGGGAAGCAGTCGAGCTATCCCTGTGTATATGGTTTAGCCTCTCAGATTACTTGACCGCACAGGGAACCTCTGATACAGTACCCTTGTATGGCAAGTTTTGATCTGCCTGTTCATGTTTCATTTCGTTCCTTTGTGCCGTCGTGAGAAGTTTAGGTGCCAAAAAAAAAAAAAAAAAAAACAGAACGTCGATGATACATTTTATTTTACTAGCTAGAGCTCATGATTCATGTCGTTACACTGTACAGTATTTAGCCGGCGATTTATTCCAGACCATCAAAAAAACGTGCCATGTTTTCTACGTTATCTGGGTATTCTCTTCAGACACCCGAAAAGAGGCTCCAGAATCGTCAATGCGGCCCCACGGCGATGTGATCCAGTATCGCTATAGGTCAAAGAACTCAGCAGTTCCTCCCACTGAACCGTGCCTTCGCGAATGAAAGCAACTACACAAGATATATTTTCAATAAAACCCAAGACACTATCGTCGCGAGATATTCAATCTTTCACTACACTGCGCGCGCAACTCTAATCCCTTCGTCAGAGAGAAATCATTTTACTAATAAAATTTCGGGGGTCTATATGGAAGTGTTTATAGCGTTACACACCACTTTCATGTAAGCTCCTCCGCAGGCTGAATGATTCATCCTGCTTTGTCATCATAAATTGGCGAAGACACGACCATCACTACGTTCCCGCTAACAAGGGCCCACCCGTGCTGGTTGAAGGGTACATCGCTTCTGTCTTTTTTTATATATTATATGCATCTGCTCATACAGTGTTACAATCTTGCTATGTTTTGAAACCGTCAGATCTTCGCTTGTGAGGTACCCTTCGTTTGCTTGCCTCTTTCTAAGATTATAGTCTAGTCCAAGAAATATGCGAAAGTCAAACGTTGAGTGTTGCAGTCCGAGCGAACAAGGTTGCTCCCCTCAATTGACATGGGCACTATGCTATCTTACGTATCACTTCCTTTGACCGCCCCTCTCCTTGGAACTATTAAACTGATGGAGATGCTTGGGGGCTGTCAGCTCTCATATTCTGTACGGAACTTACTAGTAAGATCTTTATCTCGATATAAGTATAGCAACCTTCCATCTTAGCCGCCAGAGCGGCAGTGTACATAAAACGCGCCAAGTCTACACCACTCCCATCCCACCCTCAAGCACCTCTAGGCAGCAAAGCCACGCCTCGATAGATCGCATTCATTCAGCTCTCAACCCTTCAACACCACCACCATGGCTGCGTTTGGTTCTTGTCGTCTCCTCCTTTTCCTGGCAGCATTGATCCTTACGCTGGGATCTGTGTGCGATGCTCAGCCGAATCTTGTCCGAAAGGCAAGAGCTCTTTTACGTGGCAATAGACTTGCCCAGTCCGTGGGAGTTAACGGTATCGTTCGACTTTTTAAGGAAGTCAACCGCGGCAGAAGGTGCAATATGCGACTCTGTTTTGCTCTGGACGGTAGTGGGTCTATCTCGCCGGTCCAGTTTAAGGTACAGCAGGACCTGGTCAAGCTTCTTGCATCTGTAGCACGTGAGGGAGGAGCCACCTTCTCGGCGGTGCAATATGGTCTCAGCAACACGGCTATCTCCACTCCAACTGGAAACGCTCCGAAATTCCGTAGAGCAGTCGATGATTCCATCTTCCAGAGAGCGCCGAGAACGTTTATTGGATCTGGGTTGGGCTTCTGTATTTCAAACTTGAAGACAGAACCGCGAGGTCGGGGTAGGAGGATTCTGTTGTTGGGAGATGGTCGCTCCAATTTCTTTACTCTCGCTTTACCCCTTGTCCTGTCTACTCTGAATGATATTCAGATTTCCGCTGTGGGGATCGGCTTTCCGCGAAATTCGAGGACGTTGTTGGATATTACTGGAAGTAGGAGCCGACTTTGCGCGGTCAACAGATACTCAGATATCCGAAGAATTGTTTTCAAGCTGGTACGCGGTCTATGCATGCCAGTAAACACTCGTACCTAAAGTGAAAGTTTCATGATACCTCACATCTACGACGCGAAGACATGGAAAGAATTCTAAGATAGAATTATAACCTCAATTCTACTCGCAAACCCCTGAAGATATAGTCGCTATTTCATCCGCAGTTGAGGCTTTGCCTTAGTTTCTGTTTTACTAGCGATCCATTGCTGCTACTTGTAGTCATTCGTAAAGACACCTCAAAATTCGATGCAAATGCTCACTTGCACACACCCGTCCCACACGCGCTTAGCAGAGGGCACGCAGCGATGGCTGACCTTGTGTTACAGCGGTTTCTGTGACTACGCCTTCAGAAGCTTCTGAGCACTAAGCAGCACTGCTATACTCTTTCTGCAACTCACACGTAGTGCGCTCTTCGATCCTTGCTGAGGTTGTGTCATTGTGAAGCACTATCATGTGTCTGTCTCTAAAACGCATATCGAAGCGTAGGATGGGACGTGATAATACAACCATGCATTTGAATTCAAGGGAGGGGGCAGTAGATACATCAAATGACTGGAAGAGTCATTCAAAAGCCTTACTCAAACACTCACAGCTACAGTAGTAAATCTAAATTTTAACAGAATACTCTACCCACCTCCTAAAAAAAGGGAGTGGATTACTCTAATTTCTTCGCAATTTACAACTGCGTGTCAACCAACTTGGCAGTTGCAATGAGAGGTTTTCTCGTCGGAGAAAATGATTCTGCAGAGCTCTGACAACATTTCTGGAAATGGTAATGCCGTGTTGTACCATGGCTTCTTTTCAGAGACTAAGAAAATGACTATGGTGAAAGCAGATACGCCAGAAAACTCTCACGTCCTGGTCACATATTCTTTTACTAGACGAAACACGATTATCAATACTTCGGGTTGTAAGGCCAAACAGAAATCATGGTACGAGACAAAGGTTTCTGGCGAAAAGGGGATACAATGAGATACTAAGGCACATCACAAAGTCCAGTTCGCCTTAAATCGATAAAACACCTAACCCTCAACGGCCTCTGGAACGCTGCAAAGCGCTCGAACCAGATCTACGACAACTTGGCCAACATCCGCGTAGTTACTGGCAGTGTAAACATGGTTCTTTTGACCACCAGTAATTTCAAGCAACTTTTGTGTGTCCAGCGAGTTACCAATACCGACAGCGAAGATGTCTACTGATTCCGCGCTCTTCAACACCAATGCCAGTGACGACTCCATGTAATTATCGCGCCCATCTCCTAGTACAACAACCTTCTTTCCGCCTGCTTTCGGGTTTTCGTTCACTTGCGAAATACAAAACCCGAGGCCAGCAGTGAGAAATGTGCGAGGAGCTCTCAGGAGCACAGAATTGTCGACATACTTCATAAACGCAAATGGATCAGACGTACTGACAGAGATGAACTCGTTGGCCAAACCATATTGCACTGCGGAGAAAGTAGCGTTGGCAGGCGCGGCAAGAATTGCTATTAGCTTGACGAGATCTTTTTGTACCTGGTACTCTTCTGCCGAGATAGAACCACTTCCATCCAAAGCAAAGCAGAGGCTGATATCGCAACTCCCGTCTCGGCACACTTCGGTCTGCAAGCTATCGATCGTCTTAGCGCCGAGAGAGGCCGCGACCGGATTTTTCTGGACTATGGTGCGCGCGTCGGGCACGAACACAGCACATTTGGTTTCTTTCTTCAAACTGCTTGGCATTGACTTTCCTATACCTTCACAACTCAGAGTGATAAGCAAGAAGGTAACGAGGAAGCGCTTAGTAGGACTGACATTACCCATTGTCATTTGGTGACGATAGAAGATGCTTGAGCAGATTCTCTTCACAGTCAAGTGGCCTCGGGAACACGCGTTGAGTAGTGCAAGAAGCTTACGAGAAAGCTCGAGCAATTTGACATGTTCCCTACGACATCAAGTACCGCAAATACGTACTGTGCAGTTAGAGGAAGCAAGGGAGAGGAGGGCCATAGTGGTACAAACAGATGTTCCACACCATCAAAAGTCCACATTTTTGGGGCGTGCGGTGGTGAAGAGTGCAGGAAAAGAGCAAAGGGCAACAATTGCGGCTCGTTATGCGTTTCGTTGATAAGTCAACCGATTTCTTCCACCGAGAAGTGGGTGGCTATTAGGCAGGCTGCGATATGATCAGGGTACTTCCGTATGATACGGTATACTTAAATTGTACATATACTCTTGAACAGCTTTAAAAAGAGCTATGGCACTCTTGAAAGCAATTGGAAGGAAAATGCGAGAAAATCCTCAGACTTACAATACCTTACATCGCATGGAAATAATACGTTGAGAGGGTGCAGGCTGCACCCCAGTAGAATGCTATTATGTAATGGGGCGGGGCATAAATATAGAACTATACATGGTAAGAAGTAAGAAGCCAACTATTTTCTGCTTGCTCCAGTTTACAACGAATGCAGATGTTGTTGACTACACACTTTGGATGTGAAATGGTACACTACAGTAATAAGCTGCGCATGATTACATCTCCATTGGCCCCTAACGAGGCCACCACTGCATCCAAATGAGGTTATAAACAATTGATAGACTGCGATGATGGAAACAAGACCTTATTGGACTAAAGGATAGGTACCCACGTAGCATGAAAGAAAAGCACCCAGTCCATCTCTTCTGTATAGAATAAATGCACCCTTACGTACATCATAAGATTGGTAGCTACTGTAGCTGGCATTTGTTACAAGTAAATTGCGCTCCGCTGAGGTCGACTGCAATACCCCGTACTGAGTCCATTCTCAACACACATCAATGCAGGTAGAGATAATGCCATTCCACCGCTTTTAATCTTCTATAATTTCAAAAGAGCTTGGTTTCTTGCCTTGATGCATGATTTGGGAATAACTTCAACAAAAAAATGTAGGGGATTAGGGGATTGCACACCCTTCGGAGTAAGACCATTTGTCCTCCAGCCTTTACATATACAGTGGAGGCAGTAATCTTGCTCATCCTCTCTAGATGAGCAGGAGTTAAAACCAACTATTTTCAATGGGCAGTAACCTATCATTTTTAGAAGCTCTCCAAAAAAAAATCTCTCTCCATGAAAACAAAGCAAAAAAATAAATAAAAAATGGTCATGAAGCAAAATGTGTGCATTTTCGGCACGTTCATAGTTTGAAGACATTTCCGTTTACGTCTTAGTGTTCGGCGGTCCAGTTTCGGGGCCCGTAAGGATCACTACGTTGAATTAAACAAATACAGGTTAAATTTTACTGTAGATGTTAATTAGGAGAAAAGGCCTGACTAAAAGAATTACTACTAATGTGTTCCAAATTCATGCGTATTGGGCCTTGTACATTTTCTCACCCCAGGCATTGGCAAACATTGATAGCCTCATTTCCTATGGGCAGATTAAGGGCGACAGGCGAATGCTCGCCAGGACTGTTTTTCGGGTCCTCAAGGGCTCACCCAACGAAACCGTGACTGCATTGGGTGCACTTGATCTGATACGCTTGTTGATTCATTGCTTTCAAGATAATATTGATACCATACCTGTCTTTGCGACATTAATGGATTTCGCCGTTATTCATTTCAGAATTACTCTGTCGAGTGAAAACTTGGTCAAGCGTTCCTAGTTAGATCTGTACACGTGTGGAATCCCTCATCCTATCTTTTGACCAGTGGAACCTCTCCTGCGCATGCCTACACGAGTGGTTCAAAAATGTCCGTTTTTGATTACCCATTTTTGAGTTTACCATATTGCCAGCAAACGTTGCATGATCACTTGTGATAAATCTCGAGTGTTAGCGTACGGTTACAGCCCAGACCAATAGCATACAAGATATTTATCTCAGGGTATCTCGAGATTTTGCATTACGCGCTCTCTCCCAATATAGCACTGCCTAAGCTGGATAAGGTATGTTTCAGTAACTACGAGAAACAAACATAATCTGCTGTATCCCTGTAACCATTCTAAAAGAAATGTACGGTACAGTACAGAGTCACCATTTCTTAACCTCATGCGAAACTTGTTCGACTACCAACCTACTTCTGCTCGGGCCTAGCATTACGTTCTTTTTATGAAAACACCTCATGCACAATTTATGTCAAACCAGCATCCCTTAACCTTTTCTGATAATTCTTTAATTTCACGGCTGGATCCCAGGGTCCAGAAGGGCATCGACGGATCGCAATCTATATAGTCAATCATCGCTTGCGCACATGTGCGTGTACAAGAATCATCCGATTGGGTATGGGCCGTTTTCCCCTGTTTGGTATTACACATCATACTGTAGGTGCAGATGATTTAAACCCTTTCGAGATTCCCCACGTTCAGGATGTCACCGCAGCCTTCCCTTACCTTGGTATACTCCCACATCATCCTCCCTGTTCTCATAGCTGTCTCAGTTTTGAATTTGCTCCTCCTCTTTTTTTTATTTTCTCAACGACCCCGCTCATTTCTCTGTGAGCTGCCATCTCTCGATGCGCCCTCTACAACCAAGAATTTGCTTTGTAGATATTACGAATACATTCCGTTTTGAAAGCAAGTAGAGGTAGCATAATTCGTTCTCTATGTTGTGGATCGGTTCAACCGTGACAAAGTTTACTACATGTCGTTTCGCAATCGCTTGTGGAACTTAAGCGAGGTGTGTAGATCGATATAGCCGTGATTGACTGTAACACCGTTGCTTTTGTTACTCAGCTTGGATAACACCGGATACACGTTCTTTCGAATAAAATGTACGAGCCTGTTGCCTTCAGAGCCTCCCACTTGTTTCCAGCAAGGAAGTTCCGGATTGCATCACTATTGAGAAGGATTCGTTATTGTTCGGGCCTGTACCGCCCATTGTAACCGTGAAGTGCAGCCCCTCTCCGCTGGACGATGGATTGCAATATTAGTGTATTCGCTTGTATGATAGTAGTGTGCAAGGCTGTTCTGATTTCATAAGCACCGCGGGCGTCGGCAAGGGTCAAGTAAGACGTAAAAAGATCTATATTTTCTGTGAACCAGGCAGTGACATCTGAAGGGATAACGCTCAGTTGAGCAATCGAGACACTGTCTTTTCTGTGTTTCTAGTCCTGAAGGATCAAGCCTTCTTCCTGATGTCTACGTGTGTGCCCAGACCCACGAAAGCTTTGTATTTGCTGTACTTTCGCTGCCTTTCATGCTCGTTATTATGAATATGCTCATCACTCAGTACCAAAGGCTCACAAGACCACTGAGAGCTACTCTGAATTGCCTTCAAGTCACAGTTTGAGGCGTGTGAGTGATCACCTTACCGAATAGGTCTTCTCAGACAATTACAAGTGCGATTAACGTTTGCAGAAATCTATATAAGCTGAGATTCATTAACCATCGCTCTCTCTCTCCACCAACGCTACCTCACTCAAGTCCCAGCACAGCACAAGCGAACTTGCAAGAAGCAGAAGTGCCACCCGACAACCGAACAAAATGAAAGCCTGTCACTTCCTTCTCCTTTTCGTGGCATTGCTCTTCGTAACCCACACCCAAGCCCAGCTTAGCGAAGAACGCCTGGCACAGCTCCGACGAATTATCAGCAATACAACCCTTGCTAGTTTGCCAGGTGGCTCCGCAGCCATTGCCGGTGCCATCAGGGAGGTGCGCGGTGCCGATGGATGTGATCCGAACATTTGTTTCGCTATTGATGGGAGTAGGCAGCTAGGACGCAGAGATTTTGAATTGCAGCTGGACTTCTTGGCCATCGTTGTTGCCATCGTCGGAGCAGATCCGCGTGCCAATTTCGCCGGAACACAATACGGACTTCGCAACCGTGTTATCAGAGCTATTCGGGGCAATGCTGAAGACTTCTTGCTCGACCTTGAAAACGTGAGGTATTTGCGCTCCCGAAGGTCGTTTATTGGCGGCGGTGTGAGTTATTGCTTCCAGCAGCTGAACAGGCGCAGGGGTGAGCCGTCCAAGATGGTCGTCTTTGGTGACGGACGTAGCTCTTATGGTCGTCTCGGTGGCCCGCTAGGCCCGGCTGCCCTTGCTGCGGACTTCCGCTCCCGATCCCCTGCCAATGTCGTCTGTGCGGTTGCAGTCGGCTTCTCTCGCACTGAGCTCTTCAACGACATCACGCAAGATGCAAACTTGGTTCTCAAGGTAACAGAATGGGAGAAGGTCTTGCAGATTCTCCGTGATTTGGTGCGCGACATCTGCGACGCGGCAACTCCGTTCCGTCGTTAGTGCCGCTTCCGCACGTACTGGAAGATATGTAACCCTACATCATTACTCAGCCTCTCTATGGAGCGCTGGAGCACATCAGGTGTATTACGGTAGTATAATTCAGTAAAACTCAGATATCTCTGTTTCTTAAGACAATTATTTTGCACGCCTGGTCCGCAGGTTTTACTTCCACTCTCTCACTTGTTTTCCTGGTAGCTGAAATATACCTGATGAAGATTATCACCTTCGAAGATATTTGCAGAACACATCCACCTGATCCCGTTGAGTGCGTCATCCAAACCCCCGAAACATCTTGTTTTCTTGAAGCAAGGCACGCACTCGGAAAGATTGCAAGACACCTTTTGGCATTGCAGTGGAATCACAAATTTATTTCCATTGCAATGTGAATACAGATTTTCGTTTCCGTCTCGATAAAATGTAATATTAGAGGAATCTGGACCCCCATGTTACAACATCATGGAGCTCGCTGTACTGTACATGAAAAGTATACACCTATCCGATTAAGCTTCAGACCTTTTGCCTCGAGGAATGCACTTTTGTATCAAAACGAGATTCAATGCAGTAACTCAAAACATTGATCCACTTCTCTTCGTAAATTACGTTGTTCGGTACACCTCAGTAATGATACAACCTTCCTAGTAGAGTGGAAATCAAAGCCTTCTGTAGGGGTCCAGCAGGTCGGTAGTACAGTATTGTGCCTAGTAACGAATATATGCAGGGAGGTACTGAACCTGCAGTACATCGATGGGTTTTTCAGTACCAATAAGAGATGCTGCACAACACTTTGCATAGGTTTTTTGCCAGGACATACCGTAAGTGGGTTCGGCATCACCATCATGTCAAGATGCGCTGATGGGCATGTCATCGTACACAAGGCGACACCCTAGAGGATTTTCAGATGTGTGCCATACGGATTTCTGTGAGAGCGACTGTATACCGTAGCTCAGCTCTTGAGAGTTTCAGTCAACTGTGGACGAAGGCGGAAGTCAATGTGCATGGCTGCGATTACAAGCCACGAGTGCGAATGGAAAGACCCCAAGGCCCTGCAACGGAAGAAGGATGGAGCCCCCCGGCGGATCTGAAAGTCTGAGTAGTACAGTTCTTGTGCACTTTGTCAAACCGATTGTCTCCCGAGGGCCGTAGCTCACCCTCGTGTAGAGTATGCTGTTGTCAAAATCGGTTTCCTGTTTTCGTGATGAGAGACTCAATTTTTCTACGGTGGCACTGTACCCTTCGGTAGTACATTACTATCAACTGCGAATCATACCGCACAGAATCAGGCTTGAAATACCGGGAATGCCTCAATACTGCCAAGGCGCCCAGGTGCGTAGGGCGGCGGTTTTCATTTGAGGAGTGATAGTGTAAGAAATCCCGTACGGAGAGGTGCAGAAGGTGCATATGGATATTGAGGGTAGGGCCGGAAGGCAACATTTTGTGTTTGCATGACAGCAGGAGACAATGTCTCCTGCTGTCGTGCAAACACAAAACGTTCGTCAAGCAGGGACGAAAACCATGAAGAGCACTCGCTGCTTGTCCCGAATCTTGTCCATATCCTGCGCACTCATTCCCCAAGATACAGTGTACTTGTACCAGTGCAGTGTATCCGAAGGCTGGTAAAGTGATTAATCTTTAAGCATCTCTCGGGAGACTGCTTAACATCTCCAGTAATGTATATTGCAGCAGCGTAACCGGACTATGCACGGCTATCCAGTGGATTATCGATTTAGTGCTGTACGTGGTTTATCGAACATACACATCGCAAGCTGGTTGGCAGAGTTGAAACTCAATTGCAGTGCAGATTTGTGGGCAACACTCCAGCAGTACAGTAGAGTCGTGTAGGGGACGCCAGCGGATTTCTTCGGGACGGAGAACACCTCCTCGACATGTTACGGCAAGATACAGTGCAAAACCTCCCGCAAGAATGGCATGCCAAGTGTACGAATAACGTGCACGTATACAGTATTATATCTTTTTCAACCAATCATATGCGTGTATTTCATTCTCGCCTTTGCATAACACCGTTCTCGCATAAGCGAGACACCTCGAGTTCTCGCATAAGCGAGACAGCGCCTTGTGCTGTGTTGTAAGGGGTGCTGTAGTACCTCTAGTAAGTGCCTATCCGACCGGAGCTTGTCCTCATATGAGGACAGCTCTTTTTTGCAAAAATATATAAATTGAATTGAACATTAAAAAAGCTACTTTGAGCACTATTTCCGTAACGTGCTTGTTTGCGGCAATAGCATCTTGCAGAACACCGGGATGGCAGCTTTGAATACACAGAAAGCTTCATAATGTAATGCAGATTAAGTACCAAGATGCCCTTTTAAACTGCCGTTTTTGGTCTCGAAGTTGTTTCACATGCGGTTTTAAGGTGGTTTAAGAAAAAGCGTCTTTTCCAGACATATCTAAAAACAACCAGGAAGAGCAAGCAATTCTCACAAAGTTCTTTCTGGCCCCAGGTCAGAAGTCACGTACAGTGGCACGGGTAAATTTTCCTTTCCTTTCTTGTCGGGGAAGCGGAAGTCAAGAATAAAATAGGTCGAATAATATCTTCACATGAGGACAATGGTCCAATAGACACTAGTACCCTGTGGAGCGCCTGATGTCTACTGTACAGTGCTCTGCTAACGTGAGGGGGCAAGAGGAAGAACCAAACATTACTGTTTAATTCTTAACCGACGCGTGCGGCGGTCAGCCTCGAAAAGTATCCGTTACTTGCCCAATACCAACGCTTGCTTCCCTACAGTTCCGTGTGTGCTTCCTCGAACAGGCTCGGCCATGTGTACCCACACGTGACCTCGTGTCGTGCGAATGCGGCGATAAAGAATTGGTGACAAAAACGATGCCTCAGTTTCCGCTTGGGGGAGAGCGGAAGATCCTCTGAAACAGTGGTGGAAAAATTATAAAGCACCCCCAAAAACGGGCATTGCTGCACAGAGAAAAGCACGTGCTTAAAAAAAGGGCTTTGCAGCCCTTCCGAAAACGACCAAGAAAGACGAATCTGTATCCAGTTATATACAGTCGGCACTATATTTTGCATTACAGTTCAAACGTCATTTGACGAGTGGAAATTTTTATAAAGCAGCGTGTCTTATTGTGCTCTCGATGAGGTCTATAATACTTCCTTGCCCGTCCGTTGCTTTTAACAACGTCAAAACAACGCCTCTGCATTGAACCCACTACGTTGTGGAGCGTTTGAGCCGGTATGGCATCCCAAATAGCCAGGACGCACTCTTTGAGCTCTTCAACCCCTCGAAACTGATGTCGATACTCGTACACCTTCCAAACCAGAATTCCCAAGCGGTTTTCGATAGAGTTTAGGTCAGAAGACTTAGCTGGCCAGTCGAGAAACACCATATCCTCCTCATTAAACCATTCCCTCACGATATGAGCGCAGTGTATCGATGCCCCATCTTGCTGAAAGACATAGCTCGTTCCCAGTTCTTCGTCCGCAAACGGCAACAAGTGGGTCTCGAGCGTCTCAATATACATATCTGTAGTTTGTTTGCCTTCATAAATCGCCAGTTCACACTTTTCTCCCCCTACGAAGGCTCCCCAAACCATCCATGAGCCGCCCCCAGGCTGCCGCTTCGACACAATTGGATCTTCACGTCTGAGATCATGCCAACAACAGGCAAACCCGTCCGGGCCGTCCAAATTAACTTTTGTGTCACTCCAGACGACGACGCGCCAGTCCGGAATGGTCCAGGTAACGTTTTTGGTCACTCAAGTGACACGCACAGTCTTATGATGAATAAGAATTTGCGACACTCTCTTAATCTATTTATACGTCAACGTTTGGTAAATGTTCAGTATCTGGCACAGGCTTCTGGCTTGCACAGGCAGTTTTAGAGCCTGGGAAAGCTCTGTAGTCCTTAAAATACCCCTGCATGATTCGCAAAGGCGCATGCGTCTACCTGCCACCGTGAACTTTCTTGGTCTGCGAACTCGTTGTTTTGAGCCATAGGCTTATGAGTTGCGGAGAAAGTTTTGCACGGTCGCCCAAATTCGCTTTTGCTCCTTCGCGATGCGAGATTGGGGCCATTTGGCTCGGTGGGTAGCCAAAAGTTTTCCTCGCTCTTCAGCGCTCAGTGACCGACCGCAAGGCATGTCTTCGAGCAGTAAGTGGGATGGAAAAAGGACCTGGGGTGTTCGTGGTACTATTTGAAGAGCTGGTGTTGCCTTTCTGCCGCCAAACACTGAACAACTTGTCCGTGTGGTGTTGTTGGGGTGTGGTGCTTTATATATATTATCACCTGTCAATTTGATTTTGTACTGTAATGCAAAATATTGGCCGTACTGTATAAAACCGTTTGCAGATTCGTTTTTCCCGGTCCATTTCGGAGAGGCTACAAAGCTCTTTTTTAAAAACGCGCTTTTTTCTGTCCAGCAATGCCGGTTTTTGGGGGGTGCCTAATAATTTTTTCCACCACTGTAGGTGTAGCGCCTTCGGAGGCATCTGATCTCTGGCACTCGTGTACATATTATACACGTGTTGTGTAGGAGACCCTCCTTGAGGGCCTCCTTTAAGACAGCATGGACGGTCTGGGCCTCAGAGAATCTTGACAAGAGACTTTTTACAGGGACGTGCATTAGTGCCGCTTTTGTTATTGCCGCTCTCGCATTAGTGCACCAGTAGAAACACGTCGTCATCTCAGGTCGGCAAAGCGGGCGTTTCGAATTGCCGAACAGGACAGAGAACCGACGTGGAGCACGCAAAACGTGAAATACCGAGTGTATGGAAATCGATATGACGATGTCACAAATTATGCTGTTCCCGAATAGTGCCGGCTTTGTGGCTTCCGCATGGGCCGGCACTAATGGGTAGGGTCCCCTATATTGTGACTCCTGAGTCATCATGCGTTGCGATTTCTATACAATGTCCGGTACAGCAGAAACACGTGTCCAGCGATCTAAGATCGAAGACTAGATCAACGATCAATTTCAGAACGGACAGATCCAGAGTGCTACCGTTACGGAAGTTGAGATCCAGCAATGCGATTTGCCGTGCCTGTCATCAACTCACAACTTGAGCTCCTATAAGCTGACCGAGAAAACAAGTGAGAAACCTTCTGCAGTTGCGGGGACAAACCAATAGAAACTCTGCGCCATAGTGCACCAGCATTGCTGCTATATGTCGATTGGCCGAGCATGGAACTGTCTTTCTCTCGGGAGGTAGTCTTCCTCCTACTGATCCAAATCGCGCCCTCTCGTTATCTCGTTCGTGCCTGTCTACTTTCCGCCGTCTGGACTGTGCTGTGGCCACACCATAATATTCATCAATATGGTATAACGTCTTTCTGGCGTCCCATTTTCCTCTCCATCTTCTGCGTCCGGACCTTAACCAACCCCCTTCTTGTAAGCCCCTACAGCCTTCCTCCTCCCAAACGTCTCCCTCCCCCTTGGCCCCGCACCTTTCAACATGATCCATGTCCAAATTCTCCTTCTCCCTCTCTTTCTCTTAATTATCTCTTTCTCCTCGGCCCAGCCGCTGATCTCCCCGAACGTCGACTATGACTCCATCGATCCAACTGCGCCCCCCCAATCATGCCCCGTCGTACTCCCAACACAGCCTCTGGCCCCCGAAGACCGCATTGTCGGCGGGCAACTTTCCGAAGATCCCACCGCCTCCTTCATGGTTGCACTCTTCTCCCCGGATTCAAAGTATCGCTGCAGCGGAGTACTACTCTCGAAGCGCTGGGTTCTTACTGCTGCACATTGTGACATAACCACCTCCTGGACCGCTTTGATTGCCGGCCGCCAAGCTTCATCGGGAGCGCCCCGAGGCATTTCGGCCGTCTACCTCGCAGATTCTCCAGGCTTCACTGTGGAAGTCAGAGATTCAGCTCTTCTTAAACTCTCCCAGGATGCCCCGCCTATTGCTAAGTTCATCTCGATCAACGCAGATCCTCGGCTTCCTCCTGTTCAAGCTTTTGTAAGAATCGTTGGCTACGGTCGTGAAATAGAGGGGGAGGAAGTGTCGGACAACAAGCTCCGACAGGTCGACATCCCCGTCACTACATTTTCTTTTTGCAAAAGTGTTTTCAATACCATCACCGAAGATAAGGTTTGCGCCGGGTATGCTAATGGTGCTTGTGACTCGTGCCAGGGTGACAGCGGAGGTCCTGTCCTTCTCTACGACAGCAATCGCAGACCCATCGTTGTGGCAACGGTCTCCTCAGGTATTGGTTGTGCACGGCCCGCAATCCCGGGCGTCTACATGCGCACGTCCGCCATAATCGACTGGGCTACCAGCGTCGGCGCCGAATTCAGCATTGCAGGGGATGCCGACATCATCCTAGACGACACTCCCCCGCTCTCTCCTTTACCGAAACCATCCCCACGACCATCCTCAACCGTATTCCCAACCCCTTCCAACTTACCCCTTCCGACGGTATGCCCTGTTGTGTTACCGCCGCATCCTCCCCTACCGCAATCTGCACCCCGCATTGTTGGTGGAAGCTTGTCCTCCTCCCTCACGGCAAGTTACATAGCTTCCATCAGTTCTTCAAGCGAGTACCGCTGCTCAGGCGTGCTTATATCCAGACGTTGGATTCTAACTACGGCAGGATGCCGCGTCGAGAAGTCATGGGTCGTGAGGTTGGGGGGTCTCACCGCACTTTCTGGAGAGGAACGCAGCATCGACCGCATCCTTGTTCCTACGCAAACAAACTTGACTTTCCCGACAGGCTTTTCCGAGGATATTGCCATCGTCAGACTGACAAAGGATGCTCCGAATACTGCCATTTTCGCGAAGCTTAACGGCAATGCGAATATACCTGAAAGTAATGCTTTCGCGCGTGCAGTAGGATATGGCCGAACGGATCCTGTAGGGGTTGGCCGCGGGGGCGAAGACTTGAGACAAGTTGACGTACCAATTGCACAAAGGAATAACTGTTACAAAGCTTATGAGTGGATGACCACAGACAGAGTTTGTGCTGGATATCGTGAAGGCGGGTGTGATGCTTGTTTCGGTGATGGTGGTGGCCCACTTCTGCAGTTTGACAAGAACAATGACCCGGTTGTTGTTGGCTTATCTTCTGGTGGTTTGGGATGTGCTTTGCCAGATTTTCCGGGGGTGTATATGCAGGTCGCGCCCTTCCTGTCTTGGATGCAAAGTGTAGGGGCGGACTTCACAGTCACCCGAAGTGCAGTCCAAGTCTCCAACTTAACACCGCCGTCGCCGAAGCCAGGATCGGACGACGTCACAGCCACCCCATCAGCTCCGCCCATCCCTACCGGAATAAGACCATCCCTGGAACCGCCCTCCCCGGGCAATACTACGGGATCGGAGTGCCCCACAATACTCCCTCAACTTGCACCGAAGAACAAGGACCGCATACTTGGTGGCGCTCAATCATCCGAGAAAGCAGCAAGATACATGGCCGCGCTATGGGATACAGGCGGCATGTACCGATGCTCAGGCATTCGTTTATCCCGTCGTTGGGTGCTCACAGCCGGAGTCACATGTGGAGTGACAAAGGAATGGACTGTGACTTTAGGCCAAACGACGACGGCTTCCGGAAGAAAGTTTTCAATCGTGGAGGTATTCAATGCATCGAATGGCACAGATTTCAAGGAGATAACGTTGATACGGCTGACAGACATCGTCTTCCCCGCGCCGAGTTTCGCACGGGTAAACATAGATATGGCTGTGCCTGCCGCAAATTCGTACGCCCGAGTTCTGGGGTACGGAGCCATGGAGGTTGCAAATTTTGCTCCAGACGGACTGCAACTACGGCAAGTCGATCTTCCAGTTTCTTCCATGGACGAATGTCGGGAGGCATGGCAAGCGGACTTTCTCTTTGCCAACCTCGTCTGTGCGGGATATACAACCAGAGACTGTGGAATATGCTGGAGAGATGAAGGCGGTCCATTGATACAGTTTGATGAACAGAATCGCCTCGTTGTTGTCGGCGCAGCTTTTGCCAATGTCGAGTGCGGAACAGCGGGGGTTCCAAGTCTGTTTGCTAAGACCGCGTCAGTTGTTGAGTGGATGAGAGACATTGGCGTAGATTTTATTGCGTCTGGCTCGGTGAAGTCAGTTTTTGGTCCTGGAGAGATTTCATCGTAAGGAGAGAGCCGTTGACTTCCAAATTGTCATGTCCAGATCTGAGGCCCGATCTCGTCAGGCCGATCGGGAGCTCCATAGTAGTCGGTGCATCATCACCATTCTGAAGTCTTTTGTCATCTTCATTTTGTCACTACGGCTTTGTTCGCGAACGCGAGAAGCTTCTCTCTCTTCTCGCTTGCCGCCCAATGGAGTCGAATGTATAACCCTTGAATAAGGGGGGCAATAGACGCAATGCTGTCTCTCCAAGGATTGTCTGTCTGGAACAAAACAAATTCTCAGATGAAACTGAAGCGCAACCAGGCTTTGGAATTTTCCGTTTATACTTCCCCATTCAACTTGGGTTGTGCAAGAGGCCTTTTCGTTGCCGGACTTTGGTACAGTAGGTTATGTGCGTCTTTGCCAGGTCTCCGAATTTTTTATAGAGAATAAGTTTCTGACGAGGAAGCCGTACTGTACTGTAGGTGGATGTATTTTGTCACGGAAGTAGCCGTAGAGGACAGAGTGAACATTACAGTAGCTCCTGTCTCAGGAAGGAGCGTAAAGTTGTAACTGCGTTAAGTGGACGCCTCCTGAAACCCCAAATACAAAAACATTTTGTACACAAATCACCATTTTTGTGTACATTCACTGTAATTTGCGTATACAGTGAACCCTCGATATCTGAATATGGATGGTTGCTTCCTTCCGCATTCAATTAAAGTGCTTATCAACCGGGTAAAGTGGAATTGATTGAAATATCTGAATCCGGGGAGCATAAATGCAACAATATAAAATAGAATGAAGGAAGCAAGCACAAATATGAGGCACTGCAGAGCCCAGTATTATGCACTGCTCTGCCTGTATCTTGCACAAGACCGTGATAAGCGATATCGCATCCAGCACAAGACGCAGACATATGATATCGCCTGGCGCACAAGACGGTGATATACAATATCTGACTACATGAACGGCAAACAGTGTCAAAACGAGCCCTTCTTTCTTTCTTCTCTAGCGATAATGATGGGTCACATTAATAGTGAACTGACCGCCCGAAATGCTTTTGATACCGGTCAGAAGCCCGCCTGCACCGTTCACTCGATCATGTCCCTCTCCATTCCCATCGACACAGGCCGCCCCATTTGATGCCTCCCACTTTGGAGGGTCATTCTCAATGCCCTCATCTTTAAAGGCCCCCTGCCCATTAGATGGCGCTACCTTAGGTGCCTTTGTACACCGTTCGCTCAAGCCATCTGTAGCATCTTCCCCGACCTTGTCTCCATCCCCACTCGTCCCTGCAATCCCATGTCGTTTTACACCTTTATCATCTACACCTAAACTATCCTCTTGCTGTTTCTCTCCCTCCCGGCCCTGAAGCTTTTGATAATTCTTCAAGGAGCGGGGGTCACGGTGTCCTGTACGCATGGCAATAGAAGAGTCTAAATGGCCAGACTCTACCAAAAGCGTTGTTACAGTACCCCTCAGACCATGTGTTGTCATACCATGCTTCACGCCTGTACCAGAAATTCCTAGTGATGCGCACACAGTTTTGACAATCTTAGAAAAATTATTTCTGCCAAGGTGCTGCTTCTTGAAGTAGCTAGACAACCCAGTTCCCTTCGCATTGTACCCCAGAAAAATCGATCGCTCTCCAAGCCCATATCTTCACGAATCTTTAAATAGTCGTCTATGTCCCGATAGACATTAAGAAGGCCTCCAAGGGAGGAACGATTCCATACTGTAACCTCTAATGGTTTCACACTGGCATCCTTCCACCCTCCTGCCCGGGTCTTTGAGGCCCCGGAGCGACTCCCGACGGCCTCTCGAATACGCCAAACATTCTCGCCGCGAATAGTAATATTCCGAAACTGGGATACGGTCAAATTAACCAAAGCGGTAGGGCGCATCGCCGTGATAAGGGCTACATCAAAAATAAGTCCCGCTTGAAATGATTTCGGTGTGTCACGAGAAAGCAGTGGTGAGCCATACAGTAGCAGCAAATCTTCCTTCGATAGAACATTGTGGCTTTCAGTGAACACACCATTGGCCTGCTGCAGGCTGAACTTGTTATCAATAACTGCCGTAAGACCCTCCTGTGGGCTGTTGAAAACAGGCCCCTCCAAAATTTTGAGCTTGTATCCCCAAATAGCACTAAATCCCCGCTGTATTCCGAGAAGGTAGCTTTTGATAGAAGAAGGTTTGACTTCGCTATTTGTCTTTGCCGTGCGGTAGTTCACAACAAACTCGATTAAGAAATATCGAATACGCTCCAACCGGGCGGAAGTCCAACTTTAAAAGCCAGGGGGCAGAAAGGTACGCCCTTCCTCATCCGGAAATACGTTGCAATCTTGTTTGTTCCATCTGCCACTCAACCAAACGACCCGGTTCACTGAACACCAAAAAAAAAGCCTTTTAGCTGCGTGAAAAAATTCATCCACGAAACCAGGAACACCCGTCACGAACCTGGCGAATGCTCTGAGAGAAGACTGATTTTGGCGTTTTGTGTTCGTGGGGACTCTTATCCCCATGAACGCCGCTGCTTCTGGAGACGGCGAAAGGGATGAGCGCGGGTTTTGCTCCCCGTGTGCAGGGACAGGTTGATTACACTGCGTTGGGGGTGATTCGGGAATAATCGTGTTTTTCTCGATGGGGAAGAGAGGTTGCAGAGTGTGAGGCGGCGGTGTGCCCGGAACCGAGGATGGTCCCATTGTGCAGGGGTGTGTGACTAATTCGCGAACGCATAGAATTGGTCGTGCAGTAGAGTGTGGCGACGGCGATGACGGCGACGGCGACGCCGGCGACGGAGGGGGAATGACACGTATTGATTCAATGAGTTTTGCAATCAGAACCATGGCCCAGCAGATGTATTTTAATTCTGGATTTCAATATGATGAGGAGATATACGTATTAAATGCCAGGTCCGGATGATAAATGCGTTATCACCCGGCTACGTCGGTGTGATAACTGCTATATATTCAGTTTCCAAGGATGTTTCATATACAGCCCAAATATGTAACAATCCCATAAGTTTTAACCAAAATATTGAGTAATGCGGGTCTGCTTGGCTTGATTTGCGCGTTCGAGGTGTGTCCGTTTTCGATTGCCCAGGAAAACTGGAAATTGAATAACATTTATAATGAATAAAGTTATCATAGCTCAGTTTTGTCTCATAGAATGCTCTTGTATGAGGCCTGATATGGTTAAGATGTGCTTGTGGTATTCAGTTAGGCCGTATTCATGAATACTGTGTAGTTGTCAAGTCTTCCGTTGCCCCCTTCCTCCTTTTATCTTTCTATCCCCCTTCTGCCCTTAAGGGGCAGTACCCTCCGCCGTCCCTACGGGTGCAGGTGTACGCGTATACACATGTACACGTACACGTAATGACAAAGGCGATGTCCCCGTTGTGAGCTATTTGTAAACTAACTTCGTGTGCGGGCGATGCACGCGTAATGACAGACCTCCTGTTTGCAAAGAGGGTTAGCATCGGGGACGTCGTGTACAAGGGGGCATTTGTGTGGTGATTCGACGCAGATGCGCTGTTTGAGAGGGACGAATGCTGCTTTTGTCAGCGGCTTGGTTAACATGTCGGCGAGCGTATCTCTTGATGGTACGTGCACGACTTTGATGGAGCCGCTTCTAATGTGGGTTCGTAGAAAGTGGTGCCTAAGGTCGATGAACTTTCTCCTTCGTGTCGGTGCTGTGTTTTTCGCGATAGATATAGCGGCTTGACTGTGTACGTAAAGGGGGGTTGGCGCGGGGGGTAACAAGTTGATTTCCAGAAACATTCTGCGGAGCCATTGAGTGGTTTGTACGGCGGTCGTCGCGGCAATATACTCTGCCTCGAATGTGGATAAAGCCTGTATGCTTTGCTTAGTAGATGTCCATGCAACTGGGGCTTTGTTATACATATGGATGACGCCGGTGGTTGATTTTCGGTCGGCTGAGTCCCCAGCAAAATCAGCATCAGAGTACGTGCTCAGTAGGCTAGGTTTGGGAAGGTCTGTCTTCTGTAGTAAAGAGCGGAGTTGGGGTTTGTTCCTTGCTTTCCTATAAACAATACCGTCGTGCTTTGTTTCTTTTAAGTAACGAAGCAAGTTCTTCATTATTAGGCAGTGGCGTTTCGTCGGTTTGTGCGTGGCATGGGCCAGTCTGTTGACATAAAATACGATATCTGGCCTGGTACTGTCGGCAATGTAGCGCAGTTGTCCCAATATTCTCTGTTAACTGTCTTTTAGTTGGGGCACGGACTTGTCGTCATGTGATGGGCCGTGATACTTTGTTCCCGCTACGTGCGGTGTTGTTTTTCCATTGGCGTCAGACATGCGCATGTCTGAGAGGGCTTGCTCGATGTGGCAAGGCTGGCTGAGTCCGGTGGATCCGTCATGTGAGTGTTCTACTTTCCAGCCGAGATATTGAGATGGTCTCCCAAGTCGTTTGAAGTTATATTTTTGCTTTAGATTCCTAAACAGCTCATCGATGAGGTCAGTTGTAGTGGCAAGGACAAGGAAGTCGTCCGTGCATATACCGATAAGTATGAACGACGACGAGGATTGTATTTTGAAGTAGAGACATGGGTCGTGCTCGCTTTGCTTGTATTCCATGCTGCGTAGGTAATGTCTTGCGCCTTCTAAGTAGTAATATCCTCCGGAGGGGTTACAATATAGGTTTTTCATAAGTACTCCACCACGACAGTTATGCTTAAGTGTGCCATCGAAACGAGGGTGCTGGCGGATGTACACAGGCTTTTCGAATTTATATGGCTCGTGGATGTATGCGGACTGGATGTCGAAATGGTCACTGGCTAGACCTCCTGAGGCCTGAATAGCGAAAAGAAGTCTTATGGTGGCTTTGTCGGCCATATGGGCTGCTGTATGCTCAGGGTTATAGTGTACAGCTGGTTTCATGAGGTCTTCTCGCACAGCACATCGGGCCTTGTGTTCCGTAATGTCGAGTTCGGGGCTCCTCTTGTATCTATAATTGATGTTGAAGGGGATGAGGCGGGCTGTGCGCGGTATTTTATCGTCGGGTAGCCACTGTATGGCTTTTAATGTGTCGATCTCGTCGAGTTCGGAGTTGTGCGCGTCGCTCCATTCATTGGCATCGGGATAGCGACGGGCTTGCTTCAGTGACGCCGGCGCTGGGGTCGTCGTCGTGATTATCGCGGGGTCGCGGTGTGACAAATGGCATTTGAAAGCGTTTGAGTAAAATCGAACAGGATCGGCGAGAGGATTGTCTGGTTTGAAGTCTGCGGCGCGTAATTGCTTATACTGTCCATTGTGCAGGTTTAGGACAACGACGTTGGTGAAGTCAACTGGGTACATGTAGCGCGACGGGAAGGATCGCGCCTGGAGCTTTTTTTGTCGGCACGCACGACAGAGGTGCCTAGTTGCCCAAAACAGAACAGTTGTGATAGGGGAGGAGGGTGACCGTACCAGGTTGTGAATGGTAATTGGCCAGTGGATGAATGGGGAGTGATTTTATACTTGAATGTGGCGTCCCGCAGCGCGTCTCCCCAAAAAGCGGGAGAGAGGCTGCTGTCAAATAGTGCGGAGCGCGCGGCGGAGACGAGCGTAGCGTTAAGG